ACGTGATTACGAGATTGACCTTTAGGAACCCATGTGCCTCCAATATTTTTAGAGATTACTTTTTTTTAAGATGTTGAAAAAGGTTATTTACTGACTGTCATATTCAATAAAATCATATTTAAATACTAAAAAAAATGTGATAAAACAAGCTATTCCGCAATCCTATTTTGTCTTTTTTATTTGCTAAAGAACACATATTTTGTAAAATCAAATAAAAATGCATATCATATTTTACTATTAGTTCATTTCTATACTGTTTCATGAGTTTTGTAGCAAATATCCATGTCCATTGAGACAAAAAATCTGAAGTACTGCTGTTTTTCTTCAAAATCTTTGATTAAATGTATGAAATAAAGTAGTCAGAATCTTGTATTTTTTTCAGACCTTGTTCCAAGTCACATTCACATAGCTGAGCATAATAGTGTTGCCTTGTTTTCATTCAAGAGGTCACAGTTGCTCCATTGATGTGCATAGCTTATTGTCACATATCAGTTATGGTAAGTTGTTTTCAGTTAATATGAGAATTTAAGATCATTTACATCATGTTTATATCTCAACCTTTTTGTTTTTCCTTGGTGGTAAGTTGTATACTTTAAATTTCACTATTTTATCATTAACATGATGTTTACATATCAATTAAGTTGAACTGCAGATATATTTCATATGTTTTATCTGTTTTAAATGCTTATTTGATTATGTGCATTTTATTGTTATACTTTGACTCAATGTTAGTCCATTTTACATTCTTTAATTTATTCATTTTGTGATTAGCATATAATACTTTAAGTTTCAAGAATTTATCATCAACATGATGTTTACATATCAATTAATTTGAACTGCAGATATTATTCATATGTTTTATCTGTTTGAAATGCTTTTTTGATTATGTGCTTTTTATTGTTATACTTGATATACTTTGACTCAATGATAGTCCATTTTACATTCTTTATTTTTTCATTTTGTGATTAGCATATAAAACACTGGATTTATTTCATCACAGATAGTTAGCTAAATTGTTAAATGTTTTACATATATTTTTTAATTTATATTTTCAATGATTTTTATTTTGTTTTCAGGTTGAGAAGGACAGTTAGCATTGTGGACTATGTATTGGTGATAAAGAAATAAAAATTCACACAAAAGAATCTTCAGATATTGTCAGAAAGCATAAGATGTTGAGATGAAGTGTACATTTAAGAGAATGAAATAAAATTCATGTCCTCAATTTGCATTTTTATTGTTAATTTCAAACATGCATGCACAAAAAAGGATTTATCAAATAGCCTAAAACACCCCGGTCCAAACAAGGCGGGGGGTCTATAAAAGAGGTGCCCCCCTAAATATTATCATCAGATTTTTTTACATATCAGCTATATACCATACACCAGTACTGGAAAAATCTTGAACTTGAAAAAAATGCATAATACCTAAAAGAATAACTTGAACTTTTTAATTGAACAAGACATCTATATGATTATGTATATCGTGTTTTTTATAAGGCACTTAAAACTTCTGTTTCTATAGTTTTGATTCTTGATGAATGTAGGATATGCATATCTACTTTTTTAGAGAACTAGATTGTAAGTGAGGAAGATCTTAGTTGGATCATAGTTTGCAATTTTGTATCGTTGAATATTTAAGACAGCTTTCTAAGTACAAATGAGCCGCGCCATGACAAACCAACAGTGTGTTTGCGAACAGCATGGATCTTGTTTGCGCGGTCTGGTCTGGATCCATGCTGGTCGCAAACGCACTATGTGGGTTTTGTCATGGCGCGGCTCAATTATGTTGTAAGCATTCACAATCCTCTTAATCAGTTTCAACGATTGAACAAAAACAAAACAAAAATACGTTATAATTCTGAACGTAGTGTAATTTTAATTTTATTGTGAAAATTTGATCAGATAACATGTCCTTCCTCAACAGTGAGTATAATATTATCGTATTTTTCATATATAGAAGACTTACTGCATGATATTGTTTAAATATCCTGTAACACAAATTTTTTCTATGGTTTTATATCATAAATATGATGCTCAAATTAAGATTTATCAATATTTTAAGTTCCAAAAGCATTATTTATAAAGATATTACCGAATTATACATTTCAGGTAAATAAAGGGAGGTAATAAAATTTTTATTTTCTATAAAGTCTAAGTCAATTTTTTAATTTTCAATAAGAAATGAATGCATATATTATAATGATTACATAATTATAATGTGGACAAATATTTGCACTTCATATTTTACATATTCTTCGATGTTTGAAATTTGTTTAGAAGCATATTTATACACATATATGAAATTTCACTTAGGTGTGGTAACAACCTTATAGCATGATACTATGTCAGTCTAGTTTATCACTTGGGATGAAAACATTTACAAAATAACATGCTTTTTTGTAATTTGAAGTTTACTTTTAATTTTGAAAGAAGAATCTAACGGATACTATGAGGTTGGACACTTTTTGTGACACACATGAAGTGGCGGTTATATGGCGTGTCTTTGTTCTTATAATTACATCATTGTGTCACAGGGTTTTATTTTTTAAGATTTGATGTAAGGGGGAAAAACTCTTGCATTACTGTTGAGTTTCATAATTTTCCAAAGGGAGACAAATCCGCCTATAATACAAATTATAAGACCTTTTTACAATACGATTTTCCATAGCAACGAATGTTGCATTTCGCGCATGCGCATTCTGCGTAGGGCAAAAAGCAATAACGATGTCTACAGTTTATCATACTTTAAGGCTTTAATAGATGCGATTTCATGTTAAGTCACCCAAAAAATATTAATTTTGGGATGACTTAAGGCGGTAAGTACTGAAAACGTGAATTTATTTTTTAACAGATCTACGAAAATGTGCGGGCCGAGTAATAATTCAATGGTCAAAACTGGCACACACATGTCTTTGTTTAAGGTATCATTAAACGACTTTTCCATCAGTACTTTAAATTGAAACAGCAGGGTGTTAAAGATTAAATTTTATTACCCCTGTATTACATAATATTACGCAATTTGTATTGTACACTTCCTTTGAATAACTGGATTGGTCAGGCGGCAAGTGTCAAACAGATTGGCACGCGGACGTTTGTTCATTCAACCGGGACGTTTAAATATCATGATATAGTTAATCAGTTACGCTTATTAAAATGGTAATTTATGTTATTCATGCGTTGATAACATAAGTGCATTTTTAACTTAATTGATTTTTGCATTCAAATGGACATCTATATATAAAGTGTACTTCTCTCAAAACTTGTGTTTATATGTTCAGTAAATAAAACATGTGTGTGTGTATGTGTGTGTGTGTGTGTGTGTGTTTGTGCGCGCGTGTGTGTGTGTGTGTGTGTGTGTGTGTTGGTGCGTGTGTGTGTGTGTGTTTTTTGTGTGTGTGTTATATAGATTATATAGTGAACTTAAAAGATCTTCTTGTGAAAAACCACTAGTCCAATTTCAACCAAACTTGGCAGGATTGTTCCTTGGGTGAAGGGCTTCCAAAGTTGTTCAAAGAATTTCATTCAATGCAGAAATCTGGTTGCCATGGCAACCAAAAGGAATTATAAGAATAAATTAAAAAAATCTTCTTTGTAAAGACCCAAAAGGCCTAGAGCTTAGATATTTTGCATAAGGCATTGTATGGTAGACCTCTAACAAGATTGTTCAAATTATAGCCCTGGGGTCAAAATTGGTCCCGCCCCGGGGGTCATTGATTTTCAATATGTACAAATAGTAAAAACTTAAAATACCTTCTTGTAAAAACCAAAAAGGCTTAGAGCTTAGATATTTTGCATAAGGCATCATCTGGTAGACCCTTACCAAGATTGTTCAAATTATAGCCCTTGGGTAAAAATCGGCCCCGCCCCGTGGTCATTGATTTTCGCTATATGTACATATAGTAAAAACTTAAAACACCTTCTTGTAAAGACCCAAAAGGCATAGAGCTTAGATATTTTGCATAAGGCATTGTCTGGTAGACCTCTACCCAGATTGTTCAAATTATAGCCCTGGGGTCAATATCGGCCCGGCCCCAGGGGTCATTGGTTTTCCTTATATGTATATAGTAAAAACTTAAAAAAAATTCTTCTAGCAATTGACAAATGCTAGAGGTTAGATATTTTGCATGAAACATTGTGTTGTAAAACTCTAGCAAGATTGTTCAAATTATAGCCCTGGGGTCAAATTTGCCTCCGCCCTTGGGGGTCATTGATTTCAATATATACATATAGTAAAAAATAAAAAAATCTTATCGTCTGAAGGTACAAGGCTTAGAGCTTTAATATTTGTTAAATAATATCATCTAAAGGTACTCTACCAAAGTTGTTCAAATTTTGCCTCTTGTGTCAAAATTAGCCCCGCCCCTGGGAGCCAGAGGTTTATCTTATATGTATATAGTTAAAACTTAAAAAATCATCTTCTCTAAATTTACAAAGGATAGAGTTAAGATATTTTGCATGAAACATTGTGTAGTGAACCTCTAGCAAGATTGTTCAAATTACAGCCCTGGGGTCAAAATTGGTTCCGCCCCGGGGGTCACTGATTTTCATTATGTACATATAGTGAAAAAAAAGTGTGTCTGAAGGTTCAAGGCATAGGGCTTTGATGTTTGATATATAATATCATCTATAGGTCCTCTACCAAAGTTGTTCAAATGTCCAATAGTGTACTTTAATATACAATATATTGCAATGTACCTTAAGTTTGATAAGTCCTGTTCAAAATGGTTGTAAATGTACTAATATTATATAGTAATTACATGCAGGTTAGATATAATTTCCTGTTAATACGACGATGAATTACTGTAACAAATTTCTTTGTTTATCAATAGAGAATATTATTGCTTAATTTAATAAACATTTAACATTTCCTTAAATTAACGATTCTTTTGATATAATTTGTTATCACAATAGCTGCACATTTCCGATCTTGTGTTCCTGTACTGCATCTTTTAATATGTTTTCCGTTGTATTATTACTATCATGGTCGATCTATAACATGCTATCGATAACATTTTAACAAAGTTCATTTTATTGTTAATTGTTTCACCACACAGCTCTTTGAAAATTTTACATAAAATAAAATGGCTGATAAAATAAACTCGGAAAGTTTTATTTCAGCTGTGGTTATTCTGTCTTGTCTAATGGTTACTGGATTTGTTGGTAATCTGCATGTTATTTTCGTATATGCGTTTCGGTTAAAGCCAACAAACCATGCAATTTTTATTATAGTTCTGAGCATTTACGATATCAGTGCATGTATTGTTCTTATTCCTTTCATTTTATACCAGATCATCAATCCATGGACATATGGCAGTGTTTTTATGTGTAGAATCTTCGCGTTCATGACGGGTTTAATTTTCACTGGATCAATTTTCACCCTACTATTAGTAGCTGTTTACAGGCAAGTAATTTTTATGATAGAACATCATTGCCGTCAATATAAACATTTATACAGCACTGTACATAACATATGCTAATGCTAGTGTTTGTTGAAAACGTACTATAATTTTACTTTGCAAAACAAATAAAATAACGAAGTAGTAACAATTTATTTATAGCGTTTGTTTATGGTCTTTAAGTGGTGTTCCAGATTGCAAATAAACATGAAAATTGTCTACATTGTGGATGGTCTAAAATGATGTAGACCTTGCATTAACTGTTGCTAAAATGTACTTATTATGTACTAATACTTTCTGTATTATAAGTTTATTCTTGACTGACACTCTGATATTTATCTTCCAATTAATTAATGTCATTTGCATGGAAAAACACTGTAAACAAGGTAATTTGAGAAAATGTGCTTAAATTCGGACTTAAACGTGAATTCTTAACTTCTGATCCCCTTTCAAAATTCCGTTTATTTAATTTCGCCTGTTGTTTTCTCGTTTAAGGCACGCGCATTTTTTTTTATCTGGGGACCATATGCCGCAGTAGTACATGGGTCTCTTTAACGCCACGCACCACGCATGCGCGACTAACATCTCGGATAAGAGTCACTTCCGACGGCCATATTTGGTAAGTGCGCGAAATGTGTGAGCGGCAGCCATCTTGGACTCTAATTTTTAACGAAAGACATCATATCTCATACAGAGCTGACTTAAAGCTTGTCCGCGTCAATTGGAGGTCAGTGACCCTGCTCAAGACGGGAAAAAATGCGGTTTTTACGCACGAGTGATTTTACTTAAGATCGATCATAAGCGTTTGATAGAACGTCCAAAAACATTTCGGTTGATACCCAAGTTGACTATGTTACAACCCTTTGTTAGGTAGACATCAGCAATGTTCTACACGAATGCTTTTTGTTCTCTTAATTACATCTTAAGTGTCTCAATTTTACTTTTATACTACATATTTCATGCCCTTTGATTTTACCGATTTTTATCCCTCAATGCCCAACTCGTAAATGAAATGAGCCACTGGTCTGTTTTTAGTTCACCATGAGCTATTTCATCAGCCCCCACGTAGGTGTCAACAAAAGTCCTAATAAGAGTCACCATTAGAGAAACCCTATTTATATAACGTATCAAATTAAAATGACAAAATAGGCTTACCAAGATGTTATTCTTTCCATATACGATAAATGATTGACCAATTCAGGTACAAACCTTTATTGCATGCTGATTGGTTGACAGTGATGCATTTTGATTGATTTAATAATACAGTATTTTGACACGAGGAAGAGGAGGGGAGGTGGTTGGAGGAGGATGAAGGAGGAGGTCGGTGGAGGAGGAGGAGGGAGGGAGTGAAGGGAGGAGGTGGGTGGAGGAGGAAGTGGTTTGAGGAAGAGGAGGAAGGGAGGAGAAAGAGGGAGTAGGAAAAGGGAGGAGGATGGGGAAGGGAGGGAGTGAATGAAGTGATGAGGTGGGTTGAAAAGGAGGGAGGAAGAGAAGGGTGGAGGAGGAGGAGGGAGGGAGAGAGAAAGAGAGAGAAGGGAACAGGTGGTGGGGGAGGAAGAGGAAGATGAGGAGGCAGAAGCAGAGGGAAGGAGGAAGAATGGGGAGGCGTGAGCCAAAAAAGCGTAAGAATCGATAATTGATTGTAAATATACCTTATATTATTTGAATAGAAAAAAATGCTTGTCTGTCCATATTGTATCTCGTTGAGTAGGTTTGACAATTTACACACATTAAAAATAAACACAATACCGGTTTAAGCCGCTTTTAGCCTGCCTTATCAGGATAAAATTCATTTAACAGCATCATGGTGGCATATCAAAAATAAATACGAAAGTGTACTTCTTTATAATTAAATCTGTTGATTTACTTGTATACATACCAGACAGAAATTTTGTGATCATATTCGATCTTGACTGGCACAATAGTTTTTTACTTAAATTCAAATCTCGGATCATTTATCAGGTATATTTTCTCTATCTTTTTTTTTTTCATGCAATGCTCTACACTAAGAAATACGTAATATTTAATCCTAAACTGTGTCTCTCAAGTATATTTTAATTCTATAATTTTCGCAATTTCCCATACTTTGCGTATTAAATAGTCATCGTAATTTATATTAATTTATTGTAACATAAATAACTAATATCTTGGGATTGTCATAGGATAACGCATAACTTTAAGTGTTTCTTTATGTTAAATCTAAAACTTAACTTTTTATATTAATTTTAAATAAAAATATTATTATTATTATGGTTATCTTGTTTCACAAGTGACATTTTATACATTATTTATAATAATAATAATAATAATAATAATAATAATAATAATAATAATAATCATAATAATAATAATAATAATAATAATATACCGTATAAGTACTTATTTCTGCGGGCTTAATATTCTGCGATTTTTGATAGAATAAGGGGTTTTAAATTTCGGCGTATTTCTGCGGTGTTATCATTCTCGCATTGATGTTTTTTTATTTCTGCGGTTTAATTTAGATATTTTTAAAAAATTAACCGAAACAGACAAATTTCAAGATGTGTTGATGTAACATGTACATTACTTCCGGTAAACATGCAGGCGACTTCTAACGTGTTTTATCATAATCACCATGTATCAGTATACAATTTCAATTTTATTTATTCACTCAGATCATACAAACATGACAACATGAGGTAATAATACAATTACATAATAAATGAGGCTTCAGAATCAGACAGTATCAAAATAACATTTTATATAAATTGTTAACATAAATATTGCGGGAGAGTCAGTATTAAAACATATACTTCAATAGGGTTCTCCACAGCATTAAATTTATACAATTTTTGGCTCATTTGAATCTTAATATAATTTCTTTAATAAATAAACAAAGTTTTTTGTAATCTGGAATGTTAACATCAGTGTTCATAAGAAGATCAATAGAATGTATATTATGTTTCTGTAAATAGTTATGTTTCAAAAAACGTTTCCTGCTGTTATCGAAACAAGGACACTCAAAAATATAATGAAATTCATCACCAATTGATCTATCACACAGTGTACAGACACGTCTGTTAAGTTCGATGTTGTTCAAACTTCCGGTTTCTACTGGCAATTTGTTATTTCTTGTTCTAAATTTTATCATGTATTGTAAAAATTTTGATGGAGTTTTTTACAAGATATGTTTCAAAACAAAAATTATGTTTGAATAATCTATAATTTATACATTTACTAGAATTCTCAATATCAGAATACCACTCATTTAAAAATAAATCTGATAATTTTTGTTTGACTGACATCGTTAACCATTTATGGTTATGAAATTCATGGTTATGCCAAATGTTATACAGACCACATTCATACAAAATATTCTGAACAAATTTTATCCACTGAAATCTTAATCTAGATACAGTCTGGGAGTTATTAAAATTATTTAACAAAATACGATATATCAAACACGGTAACTTGTTCTGTTGTGGTATGACTAAGTCAGACCAATATGATATAATTCTACATGTAATTTCAATAGATAGTGGTTTAACACCAGTTTCATCGTAAACCATACAATTTGGTGTACTTGACTTTAAACCTAGAATATATTTAAAAAAATTTAAGCTGTACTCTTTCAATACAATCAATATTACCAAAACCCCATATCTCACATCCGTACAGTAGGACAGGTTTTACAATTTTGTTAAATAAATCTATTTGCATGTCAATTGGCAATTCTAACATTTTACATTTTTTTATAAGACTATACATAGCTTTGGACCCCTGTTTCACGATAGATAATTTTGCTTTGAAAAAGGAACCACTTCTACTGAAAAGAATACCAAGATACTTATACTCGTCTACAACTTCTAAAAGTTCATTTCCGTAAGTAAAATTATATGACATGCGTCGCCCACTTGTAAAAACCAAAATTTTAGTTTTTGTTGTATTGAGCGTAAGTTTCCAGGTATCACAATAGTTTCTATAAATATTAAAACCAAGATGTAAGTCTTCTTTTGTTTCAGCAAAAATTACAGTGTCATTTGCGTACAACAAACAGAACAGCTTTGCATAGTTAAAAGCACTATCCTCTTAATCGTGACTGTTACACGTTACACCGGAAACATTATTGTTACTAAAATATTCATATAAATCATTTAAATACAATGAAAACATAATCGGTGAAAGATTTTCACCTTGACGTGCTCCAATATTACATATGAAATAATCAGACATATTACAAATTAACACGTACACATGAATTTGCATTTTCATATATGTCTTTAATTGTGTTTATAAATTTTCCCTTGATATAATATGACAATAATTTTGACCATAAACCTGGTCGAAGGCACATTTCAAATCGATGAAAGCACAAAACAATTTCTTTTTACTATTTCTGAGCAAATTGATAAGAGTATTTAATATAAACATTTTATCAATAGTTGAATAACCTTTTCTAAAACCAGCCTGATATTCATTTATAATATCATGATTAGATGTACAATTTTGTAGTCGACTTTTTAAAACAGCAGTATACAATTTCCCTAAACAGCTAAGAAGTGTAATTGGTCTATAATTCGATGGATCAGTCGCATCCCCTTTATTTTTGTAAATAGGATTTATAACACCAATTGTCCAACATTTTGTAACACAACTTTTGCTAAAAATGATATTAAAAAGTTTAACAAATATGTTTTTGAAGATATGGAACGACTCTTTTATATGTTCATTTACTATACGATCAACACCGCAAGCATTATCATTCTTAAGTGATTTAATAACGTTTTCTATTTCATCTGTAGTAAAATCCTTATTCAGTTCTTCACATATGTCATTCGGATAAATATCATTTGGATTTTCATTTTCATATACATTACTATCAAAATTTATATCTTTAAAATATTCGTATACTTCGTTAAGGTCCGCGCTACAATTGGAAACTTTCTTACCATTCAATATTTTCCAGTATTCTTTGGGATAAGATTTACCCAATTTCCTTATTGTTTCAATGTTATGTATCTAATAT